TGGGGAGCAGAACAGGCAGGTGGACTGAAATACACTGCTGAGGGGAGCAGCCGGTGGGTCAGGAGAGGTCTGCTGAGCCACGTGAGTCAGCTCCCTGGCCAAGGTTTTTACTCTTGCCGAGGTAGCTGTGACTAGCTTCGTAATGCTGTGCCTTAACTCCTGCGCCACCAGGGAGGGCCCCCCTCCAGCTTCCTAAGCCCTCCCTTCAGAGAAAGGGATCTGTACCCTTTTTAAAAATGGTAAATCCCCATCTGCTTATGTACCATCCTGTTTGTTCTAAATAGGCCAACCGCCTCCATGTGAAAACCATAGCTTGTTAACATCTGGAAGCTTGTCCTGCACTTGGGAAGAGTGAAGATGCTAAAAGAACATAAACAAACCAACAAACACGTAGATGAAAGTAAAAAACCAAGCAACCAAGGACATGTACTTTTTTGATTTATGAGGATGGGAGAGAAAATAATATTTTACCATTGCTTAGAAAAGGAATTGCAAATTGAGGGAAAGGGAGAAAAAACAAAAGGAAAAGTTTTAAGCATGGGAAAATTTGATGAAAACAAATTTAGGAGCAGAGAGAGAGGAAAAATATTTACTAAAATAAACACAAGCCACTACTATTTGTATAGAATATAAACAAGTGGAAAATTCCAGTAATCATTCTTGAGGCATGTACTTTGCACTCCGCTTTGAATAAAGGCAGTGACAAAGGCTTTGGGATTTATTCCCAAAGCAATTTCTAAAATATTTTTTGGGATTAGGATAGTTTTACATTCGTTTATTTACCTTCATTTCCGTCCAGCTTTGTACTGCCAATGAATGCTCATGATAAGGCTATCTCATTCTTTGAAAAATATGATTTGTTAAATTATAAAATACTTGAGTATTCACAATGGTAGAGGGGAGCAGCGGGCGGGTCAGGAGAGGTCTGCCACGCCATGGCAGGCGGGGATCCGAACTCATGCAGAAGTGGCTTTAGCTTTTCAGTGCTGTGCTTTAACCCGCTGCGCCACCAGGGAGGGCCGAGAAAGGGACATTTTTTAAAGAGACTTCAGAAATATTGGTGTGCCCTCTGGCCTCGGCCATGGTCTCTCTGAGCCTGTGGATCCTGATGCTTAGAAGTCCAGCTAATTAAAAATAAAAATACTCACCCTGTGTTTGCAGCCAGAGGTGTTAGATGGTGGCTCACTCCTGGTGCCTGTGGGCAGCGTGGCCTGCAGCCTGGTGTGCCGCCACTTATGAGGAGATACAACTGGGGTGAATAATTTATTTGTGGTAAACATGGGTAAGAAGAGCCTTCTTATTTCTTACGCTAAAACATGAAGGGAAGAAAAATAGGCTCTAACATAGAAACAGTTTGTGAAACCATAGGCGTGCTTTAACATGCACATTTGGGAGAAATTTTAGTGCTTGAAATTTCAGAGTAGGTGCTTGGTAAGTAATGCATGAATTGTTTTCTTCCGTAAAACAGTACGTGCTTATTGGCAAAACCCATGTACTTACAGTAAAAATAACCCAAAATCCCACTTAGCATTTGAGGCTATTGCCTCCCAGACATTCTCCATATATATGAATGTACTTTTTTTTTAAGGATTTATTTACGCATACAGAACTGGGGTACAGGCCAGAGGTGCAGGGTGGTGAGAGGATTCGCCAGAGACACAGTGGGGAGCAGAACAGGCAGATCAACAAAGTTCACTGCTGAGGGGAGCAGCGGGTGGGTCAGGAGAGGTCTGCCTCGCCATGTGGGTCACCTCCCGGCAGGGATCAAACTCATGCTGAAGTGGCTTTAGCTTCTTAGTACTGTGCTTTAACCCACTGCGCCACCAGGGAGGGCCCTGAATGTACTTTATTTTTTAAAAGCCCGGGGTAGACTGTGTAAGTGTCGTAAGCTGCTTCCATGCCAGTGCTGTGGGCCCTCTGATGCAGCTGCCACAGCAACTTCACGTACTTGTCTGTGAATTTGGGTTGTTCAAGGCTCCAGCATCTCATGTGCTGTCTCTTTATTTAGCAGGTTTCTTCGGCGGAGGTGCGCATTGGGCCCATGAGACTGACACAGGACCCTATCCAGGTAAGTACCTTACTCAGTAGGGGTATCGTTTTCAGAACACAGTCACGTGTACCCTTTATGTGGAGTCTTCTGGTATACCAGCAGAGAGCTACCTTGCCCCTCTGTGCAACCATACATACATTGTGGGGGAGGGGTGTGTGTATCTGTCTCTATTTAATTTTTTTTAAATGAACATCACACTTGAGAACTCAGATTGTTCCCTTGAAGAATTAAGCATCACTTTACCTTGATGTAAATAAGTTGATTGCCTGTTGGGTTGTAAGGGAGAAAAACCAACTCTTCCACCAAAAAAAAAAAAAAAAAAAAGTCTGTTCTACCTCCTGCTGCAGTTCCAGAAGGAAGAAACTGCATGATACTGGCTGTCCTGGGAGCCACCACTGGGTGTGCACCATGATTCTGCCTGGTGACCTGGCATGTTCCACTTCATGTCTGTGCCCAGGGCCCTGCCTGGAAAGTAGAGATGACAGTGTACTCCCATGGGGAGTGGTATCAAGTTCCTAGAACACTGCCTGGCAGTGGAAGGTGCTCAGATGTAACTACTGCTGTTGGCTGGGAAGAGAAGATGGCAAGAGGCACCGCTCTTTCCTGTCCCTTGTGGCTTCAGCCAAGAGGCCTTCTTGGGCTCTGGGAGACTTGGGCTCCAGGAGAGCAGAGCAGCATTGACAATGACACTCTGACAATGACAGCAGCTTTGTCCCCTCCAGCTTCTGGTTTTGGGGTTTTTTT